AATAGATTAATGAACATCAACAAAAATAACTTAAATTTTACTGATTTAAGAAAGGTGTTGAAGGTCAAACCTAGAGATGATTCCATTTGAAATTTTTGCTAAATAAAGGTTACTAATTCAACAAGATTCTTTATCAGTTTTTCTCTATCAGCTTTCCCCTAGGTTAGTTTTTTACAAGCCGTGTTTTATATACACTGTGATCAGGATAACACAAACTGTGAGTAAAGACCTGGTAGGAAACCAGGATCAGAAGCACTAAACATTTGCAGAATTTAAGAGATTATGTTTTGTGGTAATCTATAGCCAATGATGATTCAAGAATCTAGTACCATTTATAAAGTGAAATTCAAGGAAAAGGAATGAGTTAGGAGTTAGGCAAGGAAGCACACTGAGTATTAGAGGAAAGGAGCTGTGTGTGGGTCAGGAATCTCAGAGAAGGACCTGCTTAAAGCAGAAACATAAAAACACCAAAGACTGAAGCCAAATTGGTAACCAAAAATCCAGGTATATAGGAAGTAGGAAGTTCATAGCAACCAATGGGATAGGAAAAGATAGGCAGGGGAACAAACAAATGACACCTCGATTGATAATCTCTCTCCCACCCGGCCAGATGCATTTTAAATGATGCTTCCTGTTGGAGCCAAGGCCAAAGGAACATTGAGGGTTTCTGTGTCCCGCATGTGGAAGCAGGGAATAGAATGGAAGAATTTCATAGCTGTAAAGTAATGGCGAATTCTGAGGAGCTCAACTATTGAGATGTGAAATGACAGTAAGAAAGGAAACAGAATAACTATACAAACATATTAATCTAGGGCCACTTAATTTAAAAGGTGAAAGATCTATATGATTTGAAGAGAAACTGGAGTATGAAGCCACTTAATTTAGAGAGAAGAAAAAATTACCCCATACGTAGAAATAGTTTGGTAAACAGGCCACTAAATAATCGACATTCATGAAGATTCTTAATTATCAAGGCCTTCATTGTATTCAGTATACTTAGTTTTATAAGGTGATACATAAACTTTTTTTTTTTTTTTAATTTCAGCATGTTATGGGGGTACAGATGATTAGGTTACGTATGATGCCCTTACCCTCTCTCCCCCCCAAGTCCGAGCTTCAAGTGTGTCCACTCGATACATAAACTTTTTAATGAAAATTGTTAAAGTGAAAATAATGTTGGCACTTAAAGAGAATTTGACTCTTCTATTTACAATATACATATTTAGAAAGAATACCTCCTTTTATGAAAGGGCAGTACAGACACTACTGTAATTTATAATCATTGTTTTTACTTTGTAATTCACTTAGATCATCTGAGTTGATATGGTACTTCTAGAACAAAATTGTTCATGAAATGTATTTTCCACAATTTATAAAGATTTTTAAAGTAAGCTTTAACTTATAAGTTGACCTATTGTGATTTTGTACGTAACTGGATATATGTCTTAAACTTTTTAAACATTTGGATTTCCTCAATTGTAGAAAATACAAATGTAAACTCTTATATATGGAAAGAACTGTATGCAATTGACTTTACTATGTAAATTGGAGGGAAATATAAATAAAATTTTGACTTATTTTCTTTCAAGATTCCCTATTTTGTAACAATTATACAGAATCCATATACATACCTTTTATTAAATCAGAAAATTTATACTAGATGGTTTTAAGTGTTTGACCTTATTATGACACAGATTTGAAGTTTGGCTTATCTCTTTTTATGAATATAAGCACATTTTATGGATGGGAAAGGGAAATCAATGTACTTTTGAATTAGATAAATGTAATTTAATCCAGTGATTTCTGGTATCTCAAAAGATGTATTTAATTTGATATAAACCATAGTTATCATGAAATATATACTAGGAAAATTCTTTCACATAATAGTTTCCATATATGACAGATTGATATATGATTTATATAAGTAGGATACATTTTATAGACAGTTTATTGTAAAATATCTGATAGTTACACAAATAATTTGTTTTGGAAGGATTGTGTTTAATTCATCTTGGTTTATCAAAATACTCAGTACAATACTTTTAGAGAAATCAGATTGTACATTAATTTGAGATATAATGCTCTTTTCCCCTCACCACAACACATTTAGTTTCCTTCGGTCTTTTCTTGCGCCAAAGTACAATAAACATTAACTCTTATACATTACATAAGAGTAATCAAAAATAAATAAAAGATGCAGTCCACTTCGAAAAACTGAATGGGTAAATTGTATTAAAACATTTTAGTATTTTCACTAAAATCGATTTAGTTTATAAAAATTATCCTCAGGAATTGATAATCTATTTTTTTCTTTTAAATTTAGTGTCTGACTTTCTTTTTTTAAAGTTTATTTTGTAGTGATTTTAGAGTTGTAAAAAGTTGCAAAAATAGTACAAGCAATTTCCCTATAAGCTTTACCCGGCTTCCCCTGGCATTAATATTTTACATATCCATAGAACAATTATCTAAACCAAGAAATTAGCATTGGAACAATACTATTAAGTCATCTACAGTCTTTATTATAATTTTGCCTATCTTAACACTAGTGGCCTTTATCCGGTCCAAGTCCAGTCTAGGATCCCACATTAAATTTATTTATTATGGCTCCTTAATCTTTTCCAATCTGGAACAGTTGTTCAGTCTTTTTCTTTCATGATGCACTTCTTCTCTATTGCTATGTATCGAATAACTCCAAACTTTAGTAGGTTAAAACAACAAGTATTTGTTATCTTCCAGTACTTTGAGTCAGGAATTCAGGTGTAGCTAGCTGTGCTGGGTGGTTCCAGGTTGAGGTCCCTCAAGAGGTTGCAATAAAGATGTTGATTATGAGGGCTGTAATCATTCGATAGCTTGCCTGGGATTGGATAATCTGCTTATAAGAATGTGTGCTCACATGGCAGTTAGAAGAAGGCTCAACATATGAGCCTCTTCTTAGGGCCTCAGTACAAGGAGCTGACTGCTCAGGGTAAATGTTACAAAGGAAAGTGAGAGAGCTGCCAGAACTGAAACCACAGTGTCTTGTATGACTTAATTTAGAAATGACATATCATTTCTTCTATCACATTCTACTGGTCGTATAGACAACTCTAGTGATCTTAATTACATCTGCAAAGTCCCTTCACCACAGCACCTATATTCCTATTTGGTTGAATAAATCAGGAATAGGAAGACATCTTTAGAATTCTGCCTACCTTCCCTGGTACAGTGTGGAAGGAAGCCACAAAAAGGTGTGAATACCAAGAGATGTGAATACCGAGATCAGCATTGGGATGATCTTGGAGGCTGACTGCCACATATGACCTTGATGGTTTTTAAAGGATTGGCCAATTATTTTGCAGAATATCCATCAATTTTGTTTTGTCTGACGTTTTCTTGTATTGATGTTATATGTTTTTGCAAAAAAAAGAATGTCATGCTCTTCTCGGTGCATCATATCCATGAATACATGATGTGCATATATGACAGAACTTCGATCAGTTGGTTAAGGTATGTATCTGCCAGCACTGACCACTCTAACCTCAT